AAAAATTTCATTACAAAGGAAAAATATCACAATAAAGCAAAGTATAGCAAATGGGTCGGATATCAGACACTAATACGTGAGGAAAGGCGGACAATTAATCAGGTACTGGGTCATCGATACCAACGCCGGTCATGAGCGTCAGAAGCAGTGGCATAGAGACTTTTACTCTGCAGATGTTTGGCAATATCTCTAGCACTTAAAGGAAAGACATGTAATATTAGTATATGCGTACTGTAGTTATGCTGGATATGTACAAGTGCTACATTTATACGCTCTGTTTGTACACTGGTTAGCAAAGTGTGGGACTTTCTGTACAAGATAACGGGTGGATGTGGGATCATCTGTGCGAGATATCAACAAGCAGTGGACAACATGTAAAACGAACTGTGCAGCATGCCTCAAAATTTTATATGGTATATCTGATATCCCTGTATGGGATAGTTGATCTTTATGCCGAAATACTTTATAGGATGAGCTGTCTATGTGGACTGGTATGCTGCGGGTCCTGCATGTTATATGGCCTGGTTTAACCAGTCAGCTTGTTCCACGCGTGCGATTTGCCGTCTTTATTCCACTTAAGTGATAAAATATTTTTTGTTACGATACGCAGGAAAGAATTTTACTGGCAGGGGGTTTATTGACAGGAACAGAATTTTTTTGACAGGAACTTTAAATTAAAAAAATTCATCATTGAGGCATAAAATTGATGCGCTACAAAAAAGAGAAGGGGAAACCCACCCGCGGCCGAGATGCTTAGTTCTTCGGTTTTTAAATGGGGATCCGGCCCTTTCATGGGCAGAAAATATAAAAATACATCCAGTAATGGGAACGGCTTTGCCGCTCAGAGGGCACTAAAGAATACTGTTGTTCTTGTGCTACTTAGGCCCAGCTGATGCTGTGCAGCACAGGCGGAAATTGTCTTTCTCCTTCTAACTCAAGTCTCTTTTGCTCAAATCTCTTTTGCGCAGCAAATCTCTTGGTCACCGACGCACAGTGAATAAATTCGATGTTTATGTAACCTCAAATTTGGATTATTAAACCATGAGGAATAATAAAATATAATAACATCTACAATCTATGCGTGAAGGTGTTTGAAATAAACTCACTGAATTTATTTGTAGTAACTGTGTGCTCTGCATTAATAACTACAATAACTCGTTTAGAATCCCTCTAATGCTGAGAATGCTGGTTGCAACTATTAACCCCACAGCGCGGCCATTCCAGCCCACTATTATATAGGAATGTTCATGCTGCCTTCATTTTTACTGCTTTGGTTGCGTTGTTTCAGTTGGTTCTGAATGATTTCTCTCATTTCATAAGGGCACCTCAGCACACATGCTCAAAATTTAGCTTACGATCAGCTCGTCTGCTGAAGAATCAGTCGACTTCTTTTGCGGGCATAACGAATTGGGATATTCATGAAGTCACCTATTCCGACTGCACCATCCAATGTTCTCGGTCCCGGGCGACTTTTTACCTCCTTCAGTATGGCACTTTAGCGCAGATCAGTTGGCTCTTAGGGCGTCATTTTACTTGCTTTTCTTCTACATGTATTGCAACCTCCATCGATCTGCAGTTTGACTCCTTCAGAACTATTTACTGCTCCCTCCCCCCTACTTTCAGTTTATCAACACTAATACAAGTTTACAAGTGAGTCGTTGCGACGATGGGATCAAACCAGACGATTGCAGCGACAGCCGCTGCAGACGACGAGTGCTGATAACCGGAATGCAGCAACACACTGCTGCAATGGACCACTGGACACCAAACCCGGGACGCTGGCCCGGGACCCACTGAACGCCGACGATGAACACTGGACGACGATACTGCACACTGAATACTCGACGATAACACGGGACACACACTGAATTATACAACAACTTTACAAGCTTAAATACTCATCACAAAGGGCGGGACAAATCACAGGTCAAACTGTTGCGCGATTCTGGATTATTCTTTGCTTCTCCTGCGCACTATCTTTTGCTCGCTGTACATATGTGCTGATAATTTTGAATCCCTCTTTGCATCGAGATTAACTGTATTAGATTCAGATCCAAGAGATCCAGTTAATAACTTCCCTTGTGATATGCAGTGCTGTTATGTGAATCTTGTGAAGAAACACTGTATAATAATTTTGTTACTGCATTTCGTTCTGAATATTGAAGTCGTAACGAAACGGGAGAAAAGCGCTACCGCCAGGAGGGTCGGCTACTGCAGCAGTGGTCGAAACTAGTATTTGCGTCACTTTTTGTTTTTTTTTTTTTTTCTTTTATTAGTGATGTTGTCGGAGCGGCGGAAAAAGTAAGCATTTACGGAAATAACCAAAATATTCTGACAAATAGGCTGCACTTCCAAAACTCACTCCCATCTCAGCGCTCCGAATGCTGTGAGAGGAAGCGTAACCTTCACCCACATTTTCTCTGCATGCAGACGACCAAAAAACTGTGGAATTGCGACAAATTTTTCGTTACTAATTGAAACTCCTATCGGTCTTGATATTCTTGGTTAAACCAACCAGGAAAATAAACCTGCCATTCATCAGCTTGCACCTAGGAGCCCCTGAAAAAGAATGCCATCGGTAGCTTGCTGCTGTGGTCGCTATTGGCGCTTGTTGCCACACCAGCTACTTCCGAGTGTTGTCTGCGGCTAGTGTAGCGAGCAAAATGATAGAAGATTGATCTATAGCCTTACTTGTGTTGTTATTTCTCTTGAAATAAAACGGACTAGTGAATTAAAAACTATATTGAGACTGTTAACAATGTTGGCATTGGATGAGATGTCGACGTCACTAAAATCAGTTTTGATCATTTTTCCTTGCTCGCCTTATTTCGCCGGCTTTTTCCGGCTTTTTCTTGCCTGAAAGCAGACATTATAACAGTTTTCAGCTCTAAAAAACAGAACAACGAAAATCCCCAACTTACCGGTATGTTTCCTCCAATTGTTTGCCGCCGAACATCGGCCTTCTTCTCAGTTTCCGCCGAGGCCGGAACGGCTTCCATCATTTCGTTAAATATCGGTGTTACCGTCACCTCATTGTCGTTGATTACTACAGCACATTAAATTTAAAAAAAAAAAAAAAAATGGCGTTCCCCTTCGTTGTTCATCGTATTTTAAACAATGACGTTTGAAATGAAAAGCGCCCCATTTATAGTTTCTTTTGAAGCGCCAAAAGGTAATGCGACTGATTGGTATTTGCGTAGTGCACCGAAAATGTAAACTATTAGGATTTCTATTCCGTTTTGCATAAATGATTTGCCCAATAAGGAAAAATTATCGAAACCTGCGTACATTCATGCGAGAAAACGCTCCTCTGCGTCGCTGTAGCTACTAGGATGTTATCAGTATACACAAAAACATCCTGTCCTATCATTTCACCGAACACTGTCTCTACCATACGCTCAAAGCACGTGGGAGACGTTTTGAAGCCGAACGGCAGAACGTTAAACTCACGTTCAGCGTCGCAAATGCCGTCTTCGGTTTAGAGCCCTCCTCAAGTTTTACCTGCCAGTATCCTGCTACTAAATCTAATTTACTAAATCACCTCTTGCCTTGCAGGTTTTGCACAAGTGTTTCGATGTGCGGTAGGGGGTAAGCATCTGGCTTCACCACCTTAAATCTAATTTACTAAATCACCTCTTGCCTTGCAGGTTTTGCACAAGTGTTTCGATGTGTTTTATAGGCACGGCTTGTCCCGTATCAATTCTATGCTCGAAGTGATTTGCCTGGGTTAGCTCCGAGTCTTCGAGAGCAAAGGTTATCAATTTTTCCACCTTACCCTTTTTTCCCAGCGACATCTCCTTCTCGGAGATTTCGCACACCTTATTCAGTTCCTCGATTCTCCTGGCTGCAAACAATTCATGTTGCGATGCCAGTTTAGCCTGCCTTATTTTCTGTGTTTGGGCTTAGTCACTGCCTCACCCCTTCTTACTTCAGCTTTGGATACCACTCCTAGCGGTTCATCCTTCTGTATCAGTAAATTCTGACCCGTCCCATTCCGAACCAAAATATGTTTTCGCCCCATCCTGGAGACTAATTAGTGCCTCCTGCACCTCACTCCAAAATGGTGTAAACAGCCCCCAATACAATTTTTCATTGTTTGTTTACCCGGGGATAAATTTCGAACTATTCGGCAGGACTACCTCACGGCATACACTGTTACTGGTCCTTCAGTCTCCCCCTCTTCCATTGCTCGCACCATTTGCGCTCTTCAGCGTCGGGACTTCACAAGCGCCTTGGTACTCAACAGCAACGGATCACCAATCCCATCCTCCGCTTCCACAAACATCTCTATGGGTCTCTCCTCCTGACCCCATCTGAGTTTGAGCTTTATGCTGCCTAGTAATTTCATTTGACGACTTGACACGCCTCTCACGATTTCTTTCCCAGTACCCCGTAGTTTCATAGTTAGGTCCTGCCCCATGGGTGCTCAATAGCCTGAAGGGCCCTTGGTTTTCCCAGTGATACCACGGCTCGGCTATCTATTAATGCCACCAACGGCACTCCCCCACAGGACACTTTCACCACCAATGTTCTACCGACTACCGTATTCTCGGGACTGGGCTGATTATCTTTCGCCATTTTTTCCATCTTTAGCACGATTGGGGAGGCACTCATGACTCCCTTCTTTCCTCTGGAAGCGGCTAGTCGGTGTACCGACGTCGTTAGACAAACCCGTGCCATGTGCCCCTTACCTCCGCACACGAAGCACATGACATCTTTCCTCCTCGGCACTGTTGCTGTTTATCGTTCCTATGCCCACTAAAGTTAGACATGGGGACGAAAAACAAGCACATCTTGAAGCGAGGCCTTATACAGGACTGTTGCGCTCTTTCAGCCCTGCTTTATCACCACCTCGCCATACCTTACTCTTCAGCGTTACGACTCTCCGGTTGTCATCACAGGCTAGGCTCCTTCTAGCCCTCCCATATTCTAAATTCAAGGTTAAAGAAAAATATAAGAAAGAATGATGAAAAACATGAAAAGAATTATTGAAGTAGGTAAGAAATGTTTCGGTCCATTAAGCCGTATACATTCCTTACCTTTACCACAA